TTATAGATAACATCATCAAGTGACCAATTTAGGTTTGTTCAACTGAAGACTTCGTCGGGCAATCGATTTTTTTCGGGCTGCTGATGCAGAATTGTAGGATTTCTTCGACTATTTTATCGCTTGTTTTTTAGCCGGCCAGGTGAATGTCTTTTCAAAAACTTCGGTGCCACGAAACTCATTAAACCAGCTTCAAGTTTCTTTAATATCAAGTAGATTTAAATTCAGTTTAATTTAGCAATAGATATAAGTTATGCGAAACACAGATTGCAATCTGTGTCTTCTGTTGTGCCGTAAACCGTCGTAGTGGAGACTGGCGTCAAGCGTATGAGTCACAATAGCGGCCTACCACCGCGCACCTGTTTTGCGCATGCAAAGGCCAAATTTTCCTCCCTTGCTACAACGGAAATAAAACTTAGTTATTTTAGCTTCAATTTGACGTATAAAACGTTTAGTTACCTTGATTAGTACCCAAAAAATGGCATTAAAAATCCCGTCATTATTTTAAATAACAATCTTTAAATCAGTGGAAATAGGTTAATATTGTATATGTAACAAAAATCAAACCCCTTTAATACAATTAATTATTTTTTATTGCAAACAATTATTTATCATTGTGTCCTGTTACATAATTGCCCCAACCTTATTTATTATCAGACTGGAGTTCTACTGCTTGCCAAGAGTTTCCGCGTTATTATTATTATGCTAGTTTATTATGGTAGTCTTGCTACGACATTTAAAATTTCACAGAAAATATAAATTGAAAGAGGAAGTTGTGTTTCTGGTATGAAAAAGTTCAGAACATTCCAATTTTTAAATTCAAATAATGAAACAAATTTTTAAATAATTTATTTAAGACCTTTTTAATGGCAGTTAATATTTTTTTACGAATTTTCAAATTTATTTTCTAAATATTGCATTTTATGGCTAATTATATCGAAATATTCCCTATACAAAAGTTATAGCTCTTTCTTTGGCAAACATTTTCTACATTCAATGTTTTTTATATGATGAATAGTTTTTAAGTAATCGGGGAAAAACTGGTTTTTGGACGCCATTTTCCAAGATGGTGGCCGTAGCACAAGTTTTTTTCGAGGACTTTTAGTATGTTATTCCGGAAGTAAAATTAAAAATACGTACCAAGTTTCACACTTATAAGAGTTTTTTTAGGTAATTTTTCAAATATGACTAGACTGTAGGTGTTTTCAATTTTTGATATAGACGATGTTTTACGTTACGATTCAAAAGTGTATTTATTATTGCTTCGTTTACTTTTCATCAGTGATTTAGAAAAACATTAGTTAAGGTTTACTTTGTTTGACGTATAATCTACTGATCCTGTTTTCCATCCATCCAACTGTTTTTTTTCTTCTTCTTTTTTCCAAGATACGTACATATCGACCCATGTATACAATTTACGCACGTGAAAGACATATGGGTAGAAAAGTCAAAATTTCAAGAACACGTTTCAAAAAGTATTTAGTATTTAAAAACTCAATTTTGTTGGGGAATTGAAAAAGTAATTTTTAAAGGAATGGACAACTCAAGACAGACATATCTGGCCCGTGAAAGTACGAATTTTGTCGTCAAACCCTGATCATCATTACAAAACTCACCAATATCTATTTTCGTGATCAAATTACTTGCTGCAGTCATTGCAAAGTCTCTCAGTGTGTTTTAGACTCCTTAGATCTAATTATAAAGACACAGGTATCCTAGATCATAGAGATGGTATTAATTTTACCATATAATGATCAAATTATACTTTTTGTAACTGTAAGAATTATAACTTTAGTGTAATAACTTCGGGAAGTGAGGTTATCGATAGATCGGTAGACTTAAGCCTGTCTTCAAATCCCGCATATTGGTACCAAATAAGTGATAATACAGCAACCTCTAGGATAAGCTTGACGTAAGGTAAAGCAAACAATAACACGGGCCGGAGCCTAGTTAAAGAAATGGTAGTATTATATTATAAAATGCGATTTATATAAATAAATCTAAGTGTATAGACCCACTGAAACTTAAAACCACAATTAGCGCAGTAACATGCTTAGGAACATGATTGTGGCAAAAAGCTAAGTAAATATACTAATAATGCTCTATTGGTACGGAGATTTCATTTAATGATCGCGTTTTACATCCAACATTAAACTCGCCCGTTCCTGTCATAAAAAAATAGTGGTTTCTAGGCTCAACTCCATTAACAAAGGCAGTATAAAACTTCTCTATTGTGTAGTTAATCCCGGTGCTAGGACACAGCTTCCTTTATGTCTCAAACTATGCTCCACAACTTTTAACAATATGCGGAACAACAAATTTTACTAGCAAATAACAGATTAAAGAGAAAATACCTTGTATTGATGGATCTTTGATGGGCCTTATGTGATTTTCACACATGTTATGAAATGGAGTGAAATGTCCTGATGATACTTTTAAAATATTGAGTTCGAGTTGCGTTGTCGTTTAGTTTAGTTTGCATGTATGTAAAAGCATTTTAAAACAGTAGTTTTACTCCTTCTGTACACGTTAAAATGACGTACAACAGCATTATTGTTGCCATTATTGAAATCACTGTAGGAATATCTCATAAAAAATCAAGGGTAAAACTGAGTTTAATCACATTCTCTTCGATTGTGTTAAACAAACTGTGTGCAAGAATAAAAGAACAAACTTATTATGGATACGTAAACAAAGCATATTGAGTGAACACTTTGGTTAAAATTGACGTTTTTTAGAGGCTAATAAATTGTAGCTTTTACAAGATCCACCAAGGACGTTTAAGGGTGATTGACAGTGGTTATTTTATATACATTAGTTCACATTTTTTGCCCGAGTTATCGTGTTGTGACAACATTTGTATACGTCTCCAATCCAACTGGATTGGTATAAACACATCAAGAGAGAGACAAATACACAAGTAAAAACTATTTCTACACCATAAGTACTTTAATAGAATAATTATAGTTGCATCACTTGTGGTAATAATATTGTTATAGTTAAAAGTATAATCTTAACGCATTCAACGTATTTTACTGTTACAAGAATCTATTATCAATAAACTAATATCAATTGCAATTAAAACAGGATTTTATAACAACCACACAGCAAAAAAAGGTTTATTTAAACCTCGAAACATTTCACGCAAATTTAAATGGTTAACAGACTTTTTGAGCATTTTTGGTACATAATACTGCTGTAGTAAAGGGTCGTAATCTTTAATTTATTAAAATATTGCACAACATCATTATACTAACCATTAACTGTAAACTTATTTATCATCGTACACTTGACCACGTTGCGTGGTGAAAAACTATAAAAATTTTTCAATAGCTCGATTTCGAGCAATAGGTAAACGAGTATTGATTAATATTATGCTTGCATAATTAAAATGTTGATGTTTATGTTGCATGTAACTATGCAAGAAACCTTTTATACGGACTAAAAATTGCATAGTTACCTAATTACAAATTACAATACACACGAAGGTGGAATATTTTTAGAAAATTTTTCGATCTTCGTAAATGAATTTAAATTTTTATGTTTATACATCTTATTCTTTCTCAAATTATTTAGTAAAATGTTTATGAAAAAAGTCTAATTTTATGGTAAAAATAAATTGATCATTAGTTATTAAAAAAAAAATTGTATCGTAAAATATCAAAACCACAATTTGATTATTTTAAATCCACCCTACCTAAATGTGGCAAGCAAGGCAGAACCGCAGCAGATAGCGTCAGTAGTGAGAAGGGTCTCGGAATCACCAGCTGTGTAATTTACACACTACTAAATCTTACCTCCTGACGAGGTAAAGTCACGCTCAAACCAAACTGTGTTTAGCAGAAAAGAAAGTCCCCTTTCTTGATATTTTAGGGGAATAAAGATAGCAGTATATTAAATAATGACCAATTTTATGAAAATAATAAATCTATTTGAAAGTGTATACTAATAAAATTATTGCTTATCCTTCTTTTTTCTTCTATTATTAGGTACCTACTTTAAAAAGGCGCTGCGTTACAAAACTTTACTTTGTATTTCGAAAATTCAATTAATTATTAGCTTATTTTCTCGTAGTTCTCGTACAGATTAACAACTTTGTTTAATTTACTTATGCGGTTACTAGCCGATTAGCTAAGTTGATCACACACTGATTTAATATATCACCTTGTTAATAATTAACTTGGGCTTATTGTTAAGTGTTAAGGGTTATGTAAAAATGTATATAGGAGTTCGAAATATAATAACTTTTTTTATTTTCTTTATTAATACAGGGTGTTTTGAAACTCCCTCCCGAAACTCAATGATCATGTTCCTTAGGTGAAAGCAAACAATAAATATCATATAAACATATGCCCTATCCCCCTTCGTTTTCCGTCTGTCGGTGTATATATTTTTTACATAGCTTCCCATAACTTTGCAACTACTTGAGGTACCAACTTAAAACTTAGTATGTGTGACTAATAGGAACCATTCCTTTGCCAAACATCAAGTTTCTACTTTGTATAATTTCAAAATAGCAGCCATTAAAATCTTTTTAAGCGTTATAACTCAAAAACCGTATGATTTATAAAAAAGTTACAAAAGTCAAAAAGTATGGAAATTTAATTCACTTTATAGAAATGTACAATTTGTAAAGGGTCATAGCACAAATAACGGAGAAATCTTGACTTTTAAAAAGGTAACTAGCACCTATTATTTTTTTTATTTGCCAAACTAGTTTATTTTAAACGCAAAAAATTTTATTTCCTACGGTAAATGTTTATTCTTTTTATTTATCGTACAAGTCCTTCTACTTAAGGCTGTGAAATAATGATACAGTAGTTGCAAAACCATTTATTCACCTGAACTGGCTATTTTTTATACATTTAGAAATTATTTTTACACTATTAAGATCAAAATAAACGTATTGGACATGTTGGACAGTAATTACCGCTACGCGACACTAACTACTGAGTTCATCTGTATCAACAATGTCAGCTGATTTAATATGTAGATTGTTCCAGATGCTGACCCGACCTAATCAGCTGTTGCTGTATTTACACTCTGTCACCACAATAGCGATGCTGATCACAGCCCAGCTCTCGTTAGCAGGTATATAACAAACAGTGTTGTCGTCATCACAGATATAGCAATGCCCTTTATTTGTCTTTTCATGATAAACAATAACCTTTAAATATCACTACGAAAAATATAAGCAAAATTAATTTGATATGAAATATGTATATAGCCAAATAGAATTTGATGGAGTTATACATTTTATTTTTATTTACATTTCTACAGTAAAACTTTATGTGTAAAAAATGTTAAGTGATTAATTATTAGTTTCATTTTTGTGAATAATATTTGCACAGCTTCAATGCGAGTACAATGAATACAATTGTAAGGTAAATGAATATATTTTTAACTTATACAGCAAACGCGATGTATTATTAGCATAACATTACAGTATTGCAATACACTGCAGCAAAAATAAAATTAGAGGTAGAGATGTAGCCAGAGAGAGAATGTAATATAATAATGGAATTTTTAATCAAGAAGAGCGAGGCCCTGGCTAAGCTCCTTTATTTTGTTAAAACACCTTTAATAATCAAAATATTGCATTATTCATGTGGAGATAAAAAACAAAAAAAAAAAACAAAGCAGGATAGGCTCAAATGTATCGATCATTTATTGCAGCGTTGTAGCACTATCTACAATTTATTATTTAGGAACATAGTTTTATACATCTTGTAATAATGTATAAGATTATAAAGATAATCTATGTAACAGACTGAAGTATAACGATCCTTGGATATGTGTTATAAAGTCTTACATTCGAGAATAAATTACGTTGCTAATACATATTTTGCTACATTTATGAGTCTTTAAACATGCATTTATTAAAAAAGCACGTTAAACTTTTTTTTAGATTATTGTGGTACACAAAGGATCTGTGCTTTTTAAATAGATTGTAAACAAACAGTATAATACTTTTTTCATGCATAAATTGGTGGCAATAATATATTATTTTTCTTGCATACCGATATTTAAAAAGAATTACTTACAGATTATAACCGATTTCTGAAACATTTGGAAAATTATGCTGTATGTGTACATTTTTACCAAAGCACAATAATTATCAGGGAACTGTGCCAACATTATTTATAAACCAATCTATATTGTGCAGGGCAGGGACGAGTAGTTGCAGTAAACGCCACCGCAGGGAGTAGCGCTGCAATCATCCACCCTGTCCCTGATTTGAGCGGATTTTGGTCTTACAACGAATCAGATCTGAGCAAATATGAGGACTTTGACCACTCAAAGTTCCTTGGTAAGTTTATTTTGAGTTTCCGGCCTTCTGATATAATCATTTCCTATATCTCTTATTTAGATTCGCTTGTAATCAAAATATAATAACATATTGTGTTGGAAATATTTATGAACTGATTTATTGGTTTAAAAGCATATGAAATAATATTAAAGTGAGTATATTTATGTATTTTGTTCTAGCGCAATTGTTCTATTTTCTTTTTCGTTTAGTTGTGATTCAGTAGTCATAGTTCTTTTGTCTGTTGTTCTGCTGTGTTTTACAAAACGTTTCATGGCAAAGTACTTGTTGGGACCTTTTCCATTCCAACAAAGAATATTTTCATTTTAACTACAACTATATCTAATAGATTGAATAAGTATTTCTATTCTAAACTTGGTCACATTTTTAAGAGATTTCCTTTGATCATATTGAGATTTTAGTTCATGCCTAGTATTTTTTGTCTCCCATCTTTCACCGACCCTGATATTTTAATACTGTTTGTTTTTCACACTCACATTCTTGCTAATAAATGTATATCAAAACACCAACCCTAAAATTGGAATCGTTTACATTTAGCTTCCATTTGTATTGAATGTGAATAAGACTGGATTTACTGAAATAATTCGCTTGGATAAGTAGATAATTTATATATGACATTGGTCGTGGAGTGATTTTAAACTGTTGTTCAAATAATGTTCTAATTATGTGAACTAATCTGCATTAAGGGGATTCACCACTAAAAAGGGTGATTATTTTATTTAATGAGGAAAGTCGTCAAACTATTTTTTTTCTAGTAGGGTGTAATTTAACAAAAAATAGAAAATTTTTGGTTTACTTTTAAATATAAATTATAGGTGGTAAAAAAATATAATAGAGGTTTTTTTTTGTCAATTTGTAAGAGTTTTTAAAAATCTATATTCTGAAGAGATTTCTTTATGGATTTTGATAAATTTTGTGTTTGTTTTTTTTTAAGACAGTCATCTAAACTTAATATTTAGGTGGATTTTTAGTAATATCTCAGATACCTTTTTTGCTGTGACACATTAAATATAATCTTCCTTTAGAAAAAAGAATTAGTTCAAACAAATTATTTTCAGTACCTAATCATCTTAGATACCTAATTTTACCTAAATATTTTCCTAATATTGTCTACAATAAGTAGTAAAAATTTCAACAATGTACATTTAGTGGCTCTCAAGATATATAAAATTTTGTCTTGAAAAACGTGAAATTTCAATGTTGCGGAAAACCACGTTTGAATAAGAAGGTGTTCTTTGATCTTTTAGCTATCGTCAAGAGTGAAACCCGCTGGTTAAAACATATAATAACATTCAAACATGGATTATATCATACTTTTTGAATGTAATAGGGTCCAATGTACAAATAAATTTAAAAAATATAAATTTTTCATGATTTTTACCTATTTTTAGTGGCAAATCCTCTTATGCTTCCATAATAATAAATGTATTTTTAACAGTTGCCTTTCATAAATAAATACTTCACATGCCACCAACCCAGCTAGTTGATCGGTTATTAGGTATGTGAGAAAGTCGAGTTTAGGTGGATTAATGTACGCAGCAAAACACTTTCAATTTCAACCCAATAACTGCAATTAGTTAATCAGAATAAATTACGTTTCCGTTTCAAAAACGCAATTGTAAGATTTAACGTTAACCAATATATAATGTAAATATTTGCTAACCCTAAAATGTGACCTGACTGTGAATACTGAAGTGAGAATACCTTAAGAACCATGAAACTTTAGAGAATCCAAGAAATCCTGAACTCGCGATACGCATATTTAAGGATCAAAGCCATATGTATGCATCATTCTGAAGCAAAAAAATAAATATCCTTGTGGTTTTGTGTATAGGGTTACAAAGGTAGTGTACATACATTGAGTATCAGCAAATTCTACGAACTAATATTTTTTTATAAAAAAGTATTTTAAAAAAATTACAATATGTTTGTACATATAATCTTATAATGATGAATCATGCCCTGCATGTTTGAAATTCCAATGCTATAATCCGCCTCATCCTATTTTTATCCCCTAGAGGAGCTCCCAGGTGTCCAAATAGAGGAGCCAGTGACGGGGTCAACTACTCGTGCCCCTTGGCTTCCCTTGAAACCCCCCTCGCCTAGGACTACGCCCCCTCGGCTCACGTCGTTCGACCTTCCGGTGTTCGACAACGGTCAAATCACCAATGTGTCTACACAGCTTGGTGATACGGCATTCCTCAATTGCCAGATCAAGAACATCCCTGACCACTCTGTAGGTCTATTCATTAATAATACCTAATATCAATCTGCTTGAAAATATATGCAATGAGAAATCAATCCAATAAGAAAGAGGTCAAATCATTAGGTTGAGAACTTAATTAGAACAAGTTGGAACAAATGCTGGTTTTGTCATAACTAATTTCAGATAAATACCACAATAACAATTTAGTTAATTTGAATATAATTTTAATTTTTTTTTACAATAATTCTTTTAAAGGATTTTTTTTAGTTTAGAAAACAGTTTAACAAATAATAAACTAACCTTTAAAATATCAATTACTATAAAAACTTAAACTTTAGCCAAATTTTAATGACACTTTATGTTTATATTCATAATTGTATCTATTTATTAAAAATTTTCAAGTATTGGTATTTTATTAGTAGTTAAATATTAATTTTAATAAACATATTTTATGCTAGCCTTAACAAATTTAAATAATAAAAAGTATTACGTCCTAATATTTTATCATGTATTCGTAAATTATAAGGCACTAAGAAAATTTAAACACATTTTTAATATCAATGTAATATGAAAGATTAGAGGTATTTAAATTCTGAACAAAATATGCTCTATTAAGGAGTAAAAACGTTGTAGGCAAACCATGAATCGAAATAAATTTTATTTAATAGTAATTTTCAATGTAGATTTCCCATTGAGATAACATTAAATTTTTTGCTGGATTACTTAATAATTGTGTTTATAAGAAACATCACTAGTTCAAATAATATTATTAAGTACTATACTTGTTGTTGGCTATATGGGTATTTTAAATCTACTTGCTAGAGTACACAATATAAATATTTAAAAATTACTACAACTGAACTATGCGAGTTGAATTAAAGGAATAAACTCAATGAAAGTAATGATGTAAGTACTTACTTTATCCGTAACAAAGGTAATTCTAGATCCTAGTAAAAGGAGAGCTGAAATAAACGAGCTTCAAACGTGCGATTCGTGAAATAACTCTTAACTCTTTTGAGAATTTAGTTGCAGATTCACTTGATGAAATGCCATAAAATAAAGAGTTTCTCCAAACTGACGTTTGTTTGTTTACTGTAGTTTTGTATGGATGCATTTTCTCTGAATCGGTATAACAAGGATTTCTTTTTTCAGAACATCTTTTCAAGCTACTTACTGAAAACATTTAGATAGAAAACAAATACAAATTAAATAAATTTAGATTTGATAAATAAACTTAATATTGTAGATACACTTTTTTAAAGATGTATCTGAAAAATGTATGGATTAAAAAGCATGTAGACTGAAAATAAATGACACAATTTGTATATGCTTAACCAATAATATTGCCAACATTAAGTTAAGTTTCATTGTAACATTATAATGATTCTAGGATTTTTGTACAGAGGCGTATAATAGTATATTTCCTCACAAGGGCCTAAAGTGACTCTTTTTGACCCGAGGTCAAGTTTTACGATAGAGGTGAAAAAGACACTTTTTCCTGTGTGGTGAAATATATTTTTTGTCTTATTGCATCATTAGTTAACAAACTAAGATAGAAAATGAAACAACTTTTATGAAAAGATAACCTCTTTAAATGTCTTACGTTTTCAATTTTACTAATGCAAACAAACAGCTGTCAGCTTAAATGATTCAATCAATTCGTCTATTGCGATTGTGTTACAGTACATTATACCATTAGTATGTCGAGCGATCGACAGCAATACGCTAACTTCTTATCTAATAAATCCTCGTAAATTAATAAATAATTTCGATCAATACGATTGTCCCAATCAAAATTTATAACTACTTCCTAGAGACTAAAAATGATTTTTTACTCCCTAGAAAGTAAGAATGCTACTTTAGACCCGCAACGCATGCATTAAAATGGTTGTTTTCGCTGCAGTATGGAAAAAAATGTATCGTTCTTTAAAAAAATAAAAAAATACCAGCACTTTACTATTTGTAGACAAAATAGCTTAAGGTGTTCAAATACACCATTTTGCAAGGTCATGGCTCATACCTTTTTTAAATTATGATATTAGCTTATAAACCTTATTAGATAGCACATATATATAAACCATACAATTTCCTAAACTATCATACTGAAAATTTAAAAACGTACACAAAATGTTGTACTCTGGCCAAGTTGTTTGCTAGCTTTTAGTGCGGAAACACTTTCCTTATTATTTCAGTCTTTACCTTAAGGTGGTCGTGACTCTATCATCTAGATAAAATCCTTCAATGATTAACGGGATTAAAATCTAAGAACTTGAGGACCAAAGTTCCAAGCTCTTCAGCTAGATCAGCTCGCTTCCTACCTTAATATAGTTTTGCAGTAACACAATTTTCTCATTTACTTTATTTCAGCCGTGTTATTTTATTCTGCTGTTTAAAAATATTACTGGACACCGTTTGAGTTGTGTAGGCCTGTATTATATTTTGACGTAACCCTATTGTATTTTCGAACTCTCAAGAGTGAGAACCCCCCCCCCCCTTAATGCGTGCATTACTTGTAAGTAGCACGTAGGGTACTCAGTGATTTGTATTTCGCCAAAGCATTAGTCATTTTTAGTCTTAAAATATTAAGTTTAATAGTTTTTAAATATCTTATACTATTTTCCGTTGTTGTGTACTATCCTAGAGTAAATAAAACTATGTATTACATCGTTTTTGTGTATGTAGGAAGTATCTTGGGTACGGAGAAGGGATTGGCACATTCTCTCGTCAGGAACTACTACCTTTACCAATGACGAGCGGTTCCAAGTGTTGCACTCTGACCACTCTGACAACTGGGACTTGCAAATCAAGTTTGTCCAGAAAAGGGACAACGGTACCTACGAATGCCAGGTAAAGGATTTAACTACTACGTTTTATATAGATTCCTCCTTTTGACATTGATAAGGTCTAAAGTTTTACTTGGCTTACTCATAGAAAAAGTTAAAATTTTTAAACATATATTATCTTAAACGATGTGTCCCACGCTTTTGTGATATGATGTATCATCTTTCCATGACAGAACTCCTTTAACTTATATTGGATACCCTCTGTATGGATATATTTAATAACAGGAAATGCATGATAAATACATGAGCATGAAACAAATACAAGTAAAGAAATACAACCAGTCAATACAAACATGTAAATTATATTATATTATAGAAGTTGTGTAATACTGAATTAATTAGATGGTAACAGCAAACTGACCCATACATTCTCCCAAATAATAGCGTGTCAACAGTGAATAAATGGTGGAAGTAAATATAGGCTACTATTGTGTGGATAAAATCACAAGAAATTTAAAATTCAAACTGCTTAAATTTTTTTACAGCATTTGATATCAAACCATTTAAGTTAACAAATAAAACCGCCATAACACACTACACCTAAATCAAAACTGTTTAAACGACTTTTGTAAAATAAATCTGAATTTTCCGTTTTTGTTTATCAAAAAAATCACCATTAAAAATTAGAATGTATACAAATAAACAAAAAAAAAAAATACTTCATACACCAGGGAATGGTATCCTCGAAGCAAAATTCATTAAAATAGGATCTCAAGTGTAGTTCAGTGGTACCAAAAAGGCAAGTTTTATTTGTAAACATTTATATTAGGTATATAATACAGGTTTTAAAAACTTTTTACTAAAGCTGTGTGTAATAACACTGGAAAGCTTAGACATCAGAAACAATGTAATTAAATTATAAAATACAATAAGATAAATGTAATTACAAATCATTGATCTTTATACAGTGAAACCTAATTTGCACATCCATTGTTTATACAGTGAACACTAACTTTCTACAGTGCTAGATCTAATGCTCTGTTTCAATATAAATTCTAGACACCACAAAGTTACAAAAAAATCATGTGCATTAAAGTAACACATGTATGCCATCTTTGTATATTTAAAGTAACTTTTGTGTTGACGAAACTGTTTTCTTCCAGGTAGCAACAGGCAAAGGTATTATCTCTCACTACTACAATCTTCATGTAGTGATCCCATCAGCTTATATTATTGGGAGTGGCGAGTACCACATCGGAGAGGGCAGCACAATAAGTCTCGTCTGTATCATTGAAAACGTGAGTAATTGTCAAAGAGCTTTAGAAGAAACCATGTTCACGTTAGTTATTATCTAATGATTCGTCAAGATTTGTCTGGTTTTAGTCATAAAGACGTGTTAAAATTCCTAGTAATAGCCCCGAAACACTATATTGACTAGTGTGATTAACAGTATCATTCTGTCATCAGTCCCAAAATTGTTATATTCAAGAGCTCATGTTTAGTATACTTAAGTCCACGAAATATATAGAATCCACTCAAAAAGCTTTGTTAAGGGGACACTGTCTATAACGGGTACAGTGCAATATTGCCAGTACAAGAAAAAAATTCTTCAAAGGAATTATTTCCCCCTAGTTAGCCTATATGAATATTTAACTGCGATATTTATTTTCAAACTAAACTGTTTAATTACTCTATTTTGAATAACCTGATTGTGAGATTGTTAAGAATCAAGTATAACCCCCTGTTTAAGCACTTAAATAGCATATAATGGTTATATCAAACATTTTTTTTTCTTTAAGTAAAATCACATTAGTTACGCAATTTAGAAATTGTATTATTCAACTTGTAAAAAAAAAATAAAGTTTAAACTTTCTGTACAAGCACTAGAGTAAAATGGCTACATTTCCTTAAACAATAATTTCCCTTTAAAGGTACCAACACCATTACTGTAAGTATTTGAAAAGTAAAATGTTTGTTAACTCACCTTCATAAATCTTTGTTTAACCCCTAAAGTATCAATTTATCTTTTCAGAGTCCCACGCCACCGCAGTATGTGTTCTGGTACCACAATGAGAGGATGATTAATTACGACACAGTGAGAGGTGGTGTCACAGTCAGCACTGAACCCGGTCCCAAGACACATAGTAGGTTGGTCGTCAGCAGAGCTACACACGGAGACTCTGGCAACTACACGTGCAGAGCTCCCAACACCGAGGAGGACACTATCTACGTCTTTGTGTCTAAAGGTATGAACATAGACAAATATAATTAAATATAGACCGACAGCGGTGCTGTGGTTAGCATAAGTTCTGTAACTACATGGCGATGAACTAAACTATGTTATCAATGGTCACCGATGGATCGCATAACTACACTGTCTGTACACAATACATTAGTCTGGGTGAAAAAAGGTCGAGGCTTAGTAAGAACAAAATTAAATGAAAAGAAAGTTTATAATTAATTACATAAAAATAAAACAATTGTTGAACCATTGAAATTATATATATGCACGAAGGTTAGAATGTTGTCATCTTTTCATAATGTTAATATTTAAAAATCTATTTTATTAAACACTTTATTGACTGTTTTAATAATTACTATTTTTTTACCACGTTTTCTTGAAAATTATATCATAAATTGAAAAAAGTATTGTAGTGGATTATTATAATATTGAGTAAATAAAAATATATGCGAAAAAAGAAATTACGTAAAGATGAAAAATGTGAAAGACAGACCACACCTAAGATTGATATAATCATAAAATTAATTATATAAATGTCCTATGTTTTTTATTTGTTACTTTTTCTGATGAACTTGTATTATGCAAAAAACTAAACATTCCTATTCATCGTAACTTAACTTAGGAGCATAGAGTGCAGTTACTATTTTAAAATGCATTTAAACATGCTACAACAAATAAACTTATCTTTAGGGTATGGACATTCTTATAATCAGTGGACAACAATTGTATTTCATGTATATTGTTTAGTCCATAATTTTATTTGAACTAAGCAGTAGAATACATAACATTTGTTACATTACACGATTATTAGTGAAGTTTTCAAATTGTAAACCACCAATATCGTAATTTTCAGTAGCTGTAATACTTTGATGTATCTAGAAATCGTAAAAAGAATATATTACAGGCATATTTCTTACAAAATCTTTAAAGAGGTCAACACGGCTTGGAGTTAACATACCCCATACCAGCTTGCATACAGATATTTGATTTTATATTTATCGACTTACAAAAATATGAGTTAAGTGTTTAAAAGTTAAGGAGATGAAAGAAAATCCAAATTAATTGCTGAATAAATTTTTCATTTATGTGTTTCTAGAAGGGGACAATACGGCAGCCATCCAGAGACAAGCAAGCTCAAAGACATCTGGACTGTCATGGCTACCTCCAGTGTGTGTGTTGTATTCTTTGTTGCCTTTGTTTCTCTGCTGACTCGACTAACAGTGTAGGCAGGCTCCAAACCGTTTGCTGATCCCTGGATATTTTACGTCTTAAGTAAACTTGCTGGTTAACTCAAACTTCATAGGAAGTTTAACTATGGGATATAAAATCAGAGGCTTTATTTTGGAAAATAATTTATTTATTTGTGTCTTCAATTGTGTTTTACTTTGTAATAATACCCTATTTAATAACATACATGACTTTTATTGCAGTTATGTTTAGTTTCCGTTTCATACCAAGATGAATATTGTTATTACATATTAGTGCTGTATCTATCCATACTAATAAAATAACATTTGTAAATGCAAGTAATATACAATGATAGAGGGTTTATACCGGATGACAGACTTATACTATTTAAGCTATTGTTTACTAATTTGTATAATAATTTGGTTTTAAAATCACTTTTTATATCTATATGTATTTGGCCTTTATAGCTTTGATCGCACAGGAAGTATATTGTTACGAAATTCATAAAGGAAAAAAATCATTATTTATCATAAGGAAATGTTAATTAAACTTTTATAATAATTTCTTTGCGTCTTTTAATTTTTATCAATGTTAACTACAACTAATAGGGCATGATTTTTTCATCTGATTACAATTATTTATTGGAGAATCACATAACCCCTAACTAAACTGTAAAGTATTTAATCAGTTTATAAATTCTTTAGCATATAGCGATAAACAAAAGTATAACAACAGAAGTTCTCGTTTATCAATACAATAAGCTGTTTTTAATCAAATATATCAATATTATCATGAAAAAGTTATTATCACTATATTTGTTTTATAGCTAATTTAAAGTAATCTTTACTTCAGGTATCGTATTTTATATCTAAAACTTTCATAATACGAGTATAGATTGCAACAAAAATCCCTGTTAACAAATGTTATAAATCTAAATCCGTTCATGATAATCAAGAACACGATTTCTCTTGTGCTACGAATATTGTTCTTAGCTCATTATGTACATAGCAATTATTTTGTATCTGCAATGAAACTGAATATATTTTGTAAATTGTTTTATATATGTTCAATGTTTGATTGTGTTTATGTATATTAATAGTCTACACAATTTGTAAAATGTATAACTTGGTAAGTGTTGTTGCTGTTTTAATAGTTTTAATGAAACAGAGCTTGTAATATATTTGTAAAAAGAACTGTGATAAAATCGTTGTAAATAAAACCTTTATTTATCAAATTAATTTTTTTTTATTTTAACCCACTGGTATACAACGTAAAAACCTACCAAATGCAGGGTGGCAATAACAAAAAAAAAAAATACTATTAAGTTAAAAATTGCTTGAAAAGATAATCACAAACACCTTTTTGTTCATTAAAAACTGTTACAAAAGTATCGAAACGGAAAATAACAGTACATTTTATGAATTGTGTTGATTTTATTGTTGTGAAAGTAACTGTCCACCTATGTTCCATTTGTTTGTTCATATTATCGAACCTACGAACCTATAAACATTGTAGGTGACATTGCTTACAGAGAAACATTTGTTGTTTTTTTAGAGCATTAACAAACCCTTAGCACAGTCAATGCTTTGAAGTTAAAATTTTAATGAAAACAAACACATTCAATACCAATAATTACTGAACTTACAAAGTTACAGTTAGTTAAAAAAAATTAAGTTGTCTGCTTTGAGATGTATATTATTATTTGTTTATTTCCCTGGGTTACATAAAATATCTAAACCATACTAATAAAACACAAATCACTGATTGACTGACCAACTCACTCGTTGATCACAATATCAAAAAACAACCAAAACACGTAGTAATTGGGTTGCAGGTTTTACTTAATTTATAGATCAGAAGTCTTTTTAAAAAAAAAAAACGAATTACTGTACTCTTATAAATTAATATTAATTAATAATAATTAATAATTTGTGGCTATCCCCAATCTATTTTTAATAAGGCCCTAAACAAAGTAAACTCCAGAGAATTATTGGAACCCACCACTGAGGAAAAACCCATTACTACTGTTTGTATACCCTATGTAAAAAATGTCTCAGAAAAATTAAGGCGCATAAATTCAAAATACAAAATTCGTACAGTTTTCAAAAGTAAAGACACAATTCGTAGCCGTCTCACCAAACTAAAACCTGAAAATGAACAGCAAAACACAAAAGATATTATCTATAACATTCCTTGTTCGTGTGGTAGAAACTACGTAGGGCAAACGTCAAGGCCAGTGACGGTGAGGATTAACGAACACATTAAAAAGGTTAAAAATATAGATAGGTATGGCTCGAGAATCTGTGAACATGTATTAGAGACAAATCATACAGTAAAATGGGATTCCAGCAAAATTCTATACAAATAACCGGATTGGAGGAAACGGAACATGGCAGAGTCGCTATTTATGGCTATTGAAGATGAGCCTCTATCACGACCATCGGTTTATGTTAGAACTGTTTATTTACACTAGAACTAGAACTAAGAACTAGAACAGCTGAGAGACAAGGCCAAGGATGTCAAAGGCTAATCTACAATAACCAGTACGTCCACCAACCCCCCTTCCCTCCCCCCTCTACAGGAACAGCTGATCTGGTAGTCGTGGTTAGGCGTTCAGCTCGTGTACGGGAGAAAAATAAAGTTTTAATTCCCTGAGGAGACGGGACGTTATCTTGGTCCCACGAAACGTCGGAGTAAATCCAAGGAAGATTTTTATGTGCGTGTATGTGTGTGTTGTGTGTCTTCGTTGTGTTACATTTTGACGAGTCCTGGATTAACAAATTAAGGTGAGTGAAGCCCACAAGCTGATCAATACAGTAATAAACCTCGCCTAAAAACATGGCTTTCAAAAATAAAACTTATACTTTCAATCTTTAAGTCGAGGCTATATTTAATTTGGAATTTTCCAGCTACGGGGTTTGTTCCAACCGCCAGCGATTTCACCGCATCGCAAGTGACGACGATGATGTCTCCGTGAGTGCGGTAGATGTTCACGATTTTGCCATTATCGCTGGAAGTGTTCACGATGACGCAATGGTCGGAGGATATCGCGCTCAATCGAGATCGCCTCAATAGCGGCAGATGTCTAAAATGTTCCACTGGTAGGGAAAACGATGGTGATATCCTTCGTGATCGCATGGGTTTTGTTCACGATTTTGTCACCATGATGGGTAATATGTATCCGTGATCACATATTATTATTATATTAACATTGTTCTATTAACACATTTGTGATTACTAAACTTTATACTCCTATCCAGCTGGTAACTGCATATTAGGCCTTGAAACTCGACACGGATTAATAAATTTAAATTGTATTATTGATAAAAAAAGAATATTTTCACCAAAATGTCATCAAATTACATTTATTTGACGGTAAACTAATTAGAGAATTAGTTAAAGAGCAACTAGTAATGGTTTAAAGGGCTGTTGAAACGAGTAAAAACGCACTCCACTTGCACTAATAAATTGATATTGATTTAAATATTCCCCAGCATCATTGTCAAGCACCTGATTGAATATTGAATTAACTGAAATCACTTACGTATCGTTGTGTTAGCTGGTACACAAAACGATTGACACATCACTTGACATATCTAGGCTTTATGTTAAATAATTATTTATTCAACTTTTTTATGGACAAAACGTAATTAATACTGTCTTGTTTCAACAAGGGAAACGGTATTAATGGACCAATAAATAAAAAGCGTATTTGTTTTTGGTGAGTTATGTCTAAACTCGTAACTGTATAGTTAGTAAAAGAACACCACTAGGTTCAATAGTCTTCTAGTTTTATTAAACATTAAATAAAAGTATTAATTAAAAATAAAAATAAAAATATTATTTGGCTCAATTTATAAATCGAGTAATTTTTTATAGTAATACTGAACAAGTCTTATCCAACTACTGACATCTTGTACATAACTAATACTGTAGTATTTTTTTTATGTAATACACTATATTTTTCATTTAAAATATAGAAGTATTATATTTATAATTGATATATTTTTGAATATTTATCATTTATATAAAAGTTATTGTTAAGTTAATTGAGTTATAGAATCACTTTGAAAAAAAAATCTCGAGTAAGTGTTGCACGAATGACACGGGGAAAATAATATTACAAAACGTCAAAAACCTTAATTTATTACTCATATCAAACATTCGGAATGTAGGACTAATGAAAAACTAATTACTTAGATTATAGTATTTACAATGTTTGTAGTACTTGTTCAAAAGGTTTATTGAATTCCAACTTAGGTTGGGCGTTTGTGTATTGTTAGTTGTAATGTGATAGTTAAGTTTTTTTACCTGAGGACGGGATCAGATTCCAGATCCCGAAACGTTGTGTATTGTTTTTTACAATCGTGATGGAAAATGTCCGCAATAACCCATTGAACAGCATTAACTCGACATCACCAACAATGAACTTCAAACAAATAATTGTAGTACTTATTATAATATTTAATTGTACAAGAAATTAAAATTAAAATTACCACATCAGATCAAATAAACTCATAAATCCATTTTAAGCCATACTTATGAATAAAATCCACAATGCTATACTACTAGTGTCCTTCCATTCAATTTTACTACGTACAAAACGAAGCCCTACGCTACACAAAACTTGGATCAGTCCTCACCACTGAAAAGATTGTCTAATCTAAAAAGAATTATAGTTGATTCAAGTATAAAACTAGTACAATATGCACCACGTAAAAAAACATCTCGCGGCAATGGCTAACATCTCACTATCAATAATTTAGAGTTTGGAGTGTTTCGTAGTTCACAGGCCACCGAGCACGCTAGTCTAGCACTATGTTAAATAACGCAGGCCGCACTTTTAAAAGACTGATAAGGTTTCTGCAATTTCAAATTTATTGCATTGGATAGTTTAAAAATGTGGTTTTATACGTCGACTGTATCCTCGACAACGTCGACTGTATCCTCGACATATCGACTGTATACTCGACAACGTCGACTGTATCCTCGACAAGTCGACTGTATACTCGACAACGTCGACTGTATCCTCGACATGTCGACTGTATCCTCGACAACATCGACTGTATCCTCGAAAACGTCGACTGTATCCTCGACAACGTCGACTGTATACTCGACATGTCGACTGTGTACTCGACATGTCGACTGTATCCTCGACATGTCGACTGTATACTCGAAAAGGTCGACTGTATACTCGACATGTCAACTGTATCCTCGACATGTCGACTGTATCCTCGACAACGTCGACTGTATCCTCGACATGTCGACTGTATACTCGACATGTCGACTGTATACTCGACATGTCGACTGTATCCTCGACAACGTCGACTGTATCCTCGACAACGTCGACTGTATCCTCGACAACGTCGACTGTATCCTCGACATGTCGACTGTATCCTCGACAACGTCGACTGTATCCTCGACAACGTCGACTGTATACTCGACATGTCGACTGTATCCTCGACATGTCGACTGTATCCTCGACATGTCGACTGTATACTCGACATGTCGACTGTATCCTCGACATTGCGACTGTATCCTCGATTTGTCGTCTGTATCCTCGACAACGTCGACTGTATCCACGACATGTCGACTGTATACTCGACAACTTCGACTGTATCCTCGACAACGTTGACTGTATACTCGATATGTCGACTGTATCCTCGACATGTCGACTGTATACTCGAAAACGTCGACTGTATCCTGGACATGTCGACTGTTTACTCGACAACGTCGACTTTATTCTCGACATGTCGACTGTATCCTCGACAACGTCGACTGTATCCTCGACAACGTCGACTGTATCCTCGACATGTCGACTGTATCCTCGACAACGTTTGACTGTATCCACGACATGTCGATTGTATCCTCGACAATCTAAAAAGAATTATAGTTGATTCAAGTATAAAACTAGTACAATATGCACCACGTAAAAAAACATCTCGCGGCAATGGCTAACATCTCACTATCAATAATTTAGAGTTTGGAGTGTTTCGTAGTTCACAGGCCACCGAGCACGCTAGTCTAGCACTATGTTAAATAACGCAGGCCGCACTTTTAAAAGACTGATAAAGGTTTCTGCAATTTCAAATTTATTGCATTGGATAGTTAAAAAATGTGGTTTTATACGTCGACTGTATCCTCGACAACGTCGACTGTATTCTCGACATATCGACTGTATCCTGGACATGTCGACTGTTTACTCGACAACGTCGACTGTATCCTCGACATGTCAACTGTATCCTCGACAACGTCGACTGTATCCTCGACAACGTCGACTGTATCCTCGACATGTCGACTGTATCCTCGACAACGTTTGACTGTATCCTCGACATGTCGATTGTATCCTCGACAACGTTGAATGTATACTCGACAACGTCGACTGTATTCTCGACATGTCGACTGTATACTCGACAACGTCGACTGTATACTCGACAACTTCGACTGTATCCTCGACATGTCAAGTGTATACTCGGCAACGTCGACTGTATCCTCGACATGTCGACTGTATACTCGACATGTCGACTGTATCCTCGACATGTCGACTGTATCCTCGACATGTCGACTGTATCCTCGACATGTCGACTGTATCCTCGACATGTCGACTGTATCCTCGACATGTCGACTGTATACTCGACAACGTCGACCGTATACTCGAAAACGTCGACTGTATCCTGGACATGTCGACTGTATACTCGACAACGTCGACTGTATCCTCGACATGTCGACTGTATCCTCGACAACGTTGAATGTATACTCGACAACGTCGACTGTATCCTCGACATGTCGACTGTATACTCGACAACGTCGACTGTATCCTCGACATGTCGACTGTATACTCGACAACGTCGACTGTATCCTCGACATGTCGACTGTATCCTCGACATGTCGACTGTATCCTCGACATGTCGACTGTATCCTCGACATGTCGACTGTATCCTCGACAACGTTGAATGTATACTCGACAACGTCGACTGTATCCTCGACATGTCGACTGTATACTCGACAACGTCGACTGTATCCTCGACATGTCGACTGTATCCTCGACAACGTCGACTGTATACTCGACAACTTCGACTGTATACTCGACAACTTCGACTGTATCCTCGACATGTCAAGTGTATACTCGGCAACGTCGACTGTATCCTCGAAATGTCGACTGTATACTCGACAACGTCGACTGTATCCTCGACATGTCGACTGTATACTCGACATGTCGACTGTATCCTCGACATGTTGACTGTATCCTCGACATGTCGACTGTATCCTCGACATGTTGACTGTATCCTCGACATGTCGACTGTATAATCGACATGTCGACTGTATCCTCGACATGTCGACTGTATACTCGACAATGTCGACTGTATCCTCGACATGTCGACTGTATCCTCGACAACGTCGACTGTATCCTCGACAACGTCGACTGTATCCTCGACAACGTTTGACTGTATCCACGACATGTCGATTGTATCCTCGACAACGTTGAATGTATACTCGACAACGTCGACTGTATTCTCGACATGTCGACTGTATACTCGAAAACGTCGACTGTATCCTCGACATGTCGACTGTATCCTCGACAACGTCGACTGTATACTCGACAACTTCGACTGTATCCTCGACATGTCAAGTGTATACTCGGCAACGTCGACTGTATCCTCGACATGTCGACTGTATCCTCGACAACGTTGAACGTATACTCGACAACGTCGACTGTATCCTCGACATGTCGACTGTATACTCGACAACGTCGACTGTATCCTCGACATGTCGACTGTATCCTCGACATGTCGACTGTATCCTCGACATGTCGACTGTATCCTCGACATGTCGACTGTATACTCGACAACGTCGACTGTATACTCGACAACGTCGACTGAATCCTGGACATGTCGACTGTATACTCGACAACGTCGACTGTATCCTCGACATGTCGACTGTATCCTTGACAACGTTGAATGTATACTCGACAACGTCGACTGTATCCTCGACATGTCGACTGTATACTCGACAACGTCGACTGTATCCTCGACATGTCGACTGTATCCTCGACAACGTCGACTGTATACTCGACAACTTCGACTGTATCCTCGACATGTCAAGTGTATACTCGGCAACGTCGACTGTATCCTCGAAATGTCGACTGTATACTCGACAACGTCGACTGTATCCTCGACATGTCGACTGTATTCTCGACATGTCGACTGTATTCTCGACATGTCGACTGTATCCTCGACATGTCGACTGTATCCTCGACATGTTGACTGTATCCTCGACATGTCGACTGTATAATCGACATGTCGACTGTATCCTCGACAACGTCGACTGTATCCTTGACATGTCGACTGTATCCTCGACATGTCGACTGTATCCTCGACATGTCGACTGTATACTCGACAATGTCGACTGTATCCTTGACATGTCGACTGTATCCTCGACAACGTCGACTGTATCCTCGACATGTCGACTGTATACTCGACAACGTCGACTGTATCCTCGACATGTCGACTGTATCCTCGACAACGTCGACTGTATACTCGACAACTTCGACTGTATCCTCGACATGTCAAGTGTATACTCGGCAACGTCGACTGTATCCTCGACATGTCGACTGTATCCTCGACATGTCGACTGTATCCTCGACATGTCGACTGTATACTCGACAACGTCGACTGTATACTCGACAACGTCGACTGTATCCTGGACTTGTCGACTGTATACTCGACAACGTCGACTGTATCCTCGACATGTCGACTGTATCCTCGACAACGTTGAATGTATACTCGACAACGTCGACTGTATCCTCGACATGTTTACTGTATACTCGACAACGTCGACTGTATCCTCGACATGTCGACTGTATCCTCGACAACGTCGACTGTATACTCGACAACTTCGACTGTATCCTCGACATGTCAAATGTATACTCGGCAACGTCGACTGTATCCTCGAAATGTCGACTGTATACTCGACAACGTCGACTGTATCCTCGACATGTCGACTGTATACTCGACATGTCGACTGTATCCTCGACATGTCGACTGTATCCTCGACATGTCGACTGTATCCTCGACATGTTGACTGTATCCTCGACATGTCGACTGTATACTCGACAACGTCGACTGTATACTCGACAACGTCGACTGTATACTCGGCATGTCGACTGTATCCTCGACATGTCGACTGTATCCTCGACATGTCGAATGTATCCTCGACATGTCGACTGTATCCTCGACAACGTTGACTGTATCCTCGACAATGTCGACTGTATCCTCGACAACGTCGACTGTATCCTCGACATGTCAACTGTATACTCGACAACGTCGACTGTGTCCTCGACATGTCGACTGTATACTCGGCAACGTCGACTGTATCCTCGACATGTCGACTGTATCCTCGACATGTCGACTGTATCCTCGAAAACGTCGACTGTATCCTCGAGAACGTCGACTGTATCCTCGACAACGTCGACTGTATCCTCGAAATGTCGACTGTATCCTCGACATGTCGACTGTATCCTCGAGAACGTCGACTGTATCCTCGACAACGTCGACTGTATCCTCGAAATGTCGACTGTATCCTCGACATGTCGACTGTATCCTCGACAACGTCGACTGTATCCTCGACAACGTCGACTGTATCCTCGACAACGTCGACTGTATCCTCGACAACGTCGACTGTATCCTCGACAACGTCGACTATATCCACGACATCTCAATTTTTGTAATAACATATTTGAGTGAACAGCAAAATGGCAGGTACGTGCAGATGAGTGACCCACACATTCCCTGTTGAGGATCACAGCTCCTAAAGAATATACATACCCCGACTTTAATTTAAGATATCCTGTAATAAGGTCTGGGAAATATCACATAACATAAGGAACAAAATCTTAACTGACTTTCATTTTTAAATTACATTTAATTTCATAATTTTAAATCAATCGCAAAACTATAGTTTTCTTCCAAACGGGATGAAAACGCAACATTGAAGATCTATTTTTTATAGAAATAAAAAAAGAAACAAGGGTGATTGAGGATTGGTGTTTTTAAATAGATTAAAATATTATATTAATTAGTTTCTGGTAAACTTATTTTGTATACGTCTGTCACAAATAATTAATATTATTTAGTAGTATATAGATATCATAGTTTAGAAATTCACATTTATCATAATTACATATTTATAGGTAAGAAATAGCATGATCTGAAATTTGTAAAAAAAAGTCACTCCATTGGCCTTGTACACAAGTAAGCACCTAATGAGCTATTTCAAATATATTTATATCATTTTTAATAACATATGTGAAGGGATTACAATTACTAAAAGTTAAACAAATTAATATCAGTATTTATTTTAATATTATACGCTTTATGTCACAAACAACAAAAGAAAGACTAAATTAATTAAACTCCAAACCAGATAAAACAATATTTTGATACACATTGTCGAGTAACAATCAAATGCCTCTGGTTCATTTAAACAATGGAATGTGCTGAAAGCGTTGAAAACAAACATTTAACAATCAACTCATTGGTGTAGGAATGTAAAGCATTGCATAGTGCAATGTGATGACATCCACCCTTTTTAAGCCTGTGTGACATTGTTATAGCAAATTCACAGTTATACATTATCTGTACGAATAGTATTCCACAACAACGCGATACATTCAATAACTCTGAACCCTTTGTGTAATTCCATTATAATACTTGAGTGTAACTATACAATGACTACAACATTATGAGGCTACATACAATTGACCTTATTCAATTAATTGTTACTGATATATGAAGAATTTGTTTGGATTTCTTATTCTTTATAGTAATTACATAAATTGTTATTGCTAACCTATTCAAAACAAATTATGGAATAATTATACTAAATAATTGTGGTAAAATAGATATCACATTTGAATTTTATATTTTAAGGGGTTAGATCTTCTAATATATAAAATTCTCGTGTCACAGTGTTTGTCTGCAAACTCCTCCGGAACGACTTCACCGATCGTTATGAAATTTGGTGTGTAAATTCTGTAGGTATGCGAATCGGACGTAAACTATTTCCCGTTTCGAAATTCTTAACAGGGCTCCGCCCCAGTGGCTCTGGAGTTTCCCATGTTAACCTTATGAGAAATGGAATTAATGAATCTTAACAGCTGTTTCAATTAAACAAGTTGGTTCTGTTCTATGATGTTCAATAGCATTAAAGTTACAAGGATTACCAACAGGGTGCAGCACTATTATTTCTTTTACATTTATGACAACAGCTAATTTGCAACCAAAAGGTGAGTGAGCGTAGCGAACGAACTTCAACCTAGAGGCGAGTTAGCGTAGCGAACGAGCTAACCTGAAGGCAAGTGAGCGCAGTGAACGAGCTCCAACCTAAAGGTGAGTGAGCGTAGCGAACGAGATCCAACCCAAAGGTGAGTGAGCGTAGCGAACGAACTTCAACCTGGAGGCGAGTTAGCGTAGCGAACGAGCTAACCTGAAGGCAAGTGAGCGCAGCGAACGAGCTCCAACCTAAAGGTGAGTGAGCGTAGCGAACGAGCTCCAACCCAAAGGTGAGTGAGCGTAGCGAACGAACTTCAACCAGGACGTGATTGATCGATGCGAACGAGATCATCTTGAAAATTAAACGTAACGGTACTTTCTTTCCATCGGTCTGTCTTAGGGGAAACCTATAACTTAGGCGATACGAAGTTCGCCGGGTCAGCTAGTAATGTTATATAATTGTTTTATTAGTTTTATTATAACTTATACACTTGGTTAACTGATTTTTTTCAACAATCAAGTAGCATTTAATATATATTGCTCAAATAAATAATTGCTATATCAAGTGTATTCCTCGTGCAACCCAACAAAGCGCAAGTAGAGAGTTAAAGTTAGCCAAACAATAATTCTTGACTACGATACGATATCTTCGTTTGGATTGAAACTTACGTAATATCATCTAACTTATAAGTTGACTGTCTTATAAAGTTTTAAACTTTAGCTAAGTCAGCTGCCAATTCAACTAATAACGACTTCCTTGCCTTGTCAAATCTATCCTGTAGCGTAAATGAGTTCCTGGCATAAGATGCAAAACTCAATTCAAGATTTTAATAAATGTTTTGTTGATTAGAAAAAAAATTGTGTTAAGTAAATTTGGAGAATTGGTAGATTTAAGTAATGTTTTCTGTTTTAGTATTAGAACGAACAAAGACATTGTTTTCTATGTTTTCCTGTGAAAGTTCCTGGAAAATAGTTAAATAAACTTTCTTAAGAATGGAATATAAAAAAAACTGATCCAAGCACATAGAGACGTATTTATACATTTGTATATATATATATATATTTTTTAAAGATCGTTATTCTAAAAAGTTGTATAAAGTGATCAGTAAATGTAGCATGAACAAGTCTAAATTTGAACCATAGAAAAATCGAATAGCTACCTATAAATATTTTTTTATTTAAATGCATCAGCCAGATTCTAAGAACTGCCAAACTCTAGACACATGTGACCCATGAAAACAGGATTTGAGACACTTAAACTTTGTCATTTGGCACTGAATACTGGATCTCATCTTCACGAAGGTTGCCAATATCTATTGCTAAGATGAAATTGACGGTATCCATATAGCGCTTTTTTACAAGCTATTTTGTATAGCTATGTAGCAGTAAAATTCACGTGCATGATTTGTTTTGATTTGATTTGTTTGTTGTGGCTCATTTGCTTATCGTTACTCAGTTCTTTCTATGTCCAAGTTTTTCACATGTATACTTTACTCTTATTATTGTTATATTTGACATTCCTTTCATTGTTATTATAATGGGTTATCTAGTCATAATGAGCAATTTACAACTCAATCAAACTGTAAAATTGGTGTAAATCCGTTGGCAAATAAAATAATAAATAATATATATGTTATTGCCGTAATCGATTATTTTATAGGGATAAATTATGTCATGTTTATACTTAACTTGCATGTGCTTTATATATTATTTTAAAGTAGGAATTCAATCAATACACTAGGGATTGTGGCTTGAAATAACTAGTGATTATTGAGACACGCATAACCTTTCATTTATCTGCGGTGATTGTACTGGACAACAGATTTTGAATTAGCCTTTTTAAAGAGATAATTGGAAAGGTTAAGTATTTATACTTTTTTTAAATCTTTTTAATAGTGAGAACAAACATCGCTTGAAAAATTCCCTTAGGAGGTAATTTTGTAGATTCTACTACCCATTCTAACACCTTTGTCAGAAAACACAGATGCACAACATTATCATATTATCAAATTACAAATAAGATTAATATTACACCTAGACTGTTTGCTCAGATTTAAAAGTATATTTTACTATTGGTCTAAGAAAAGAAACGTTGAACATAATTTTTAAAACAAATTACGTGTATTTTATAATGGTTTCTGGAAAAACTCATAAGGATGTTTATTTGTTGGTATAATAGTTTTAGTTTATATTATGGTAGTCCTGTTTTAATCAGTATGCAAACTGATTAGCCTAGAAACTCTGTGTAGGTGTACATTGCATACATTATCTACCACTCGTCTGTTTATGATATCTCAAGTCATGCATACTCATGCATAATCTCAAAACATATGCAAACCATCTCCATTCTCCCATACTATCCCTTTGCTAAGCCCTGTTGCTTATTACTCTTAAATATCGAGTATTACATAAAATCAAATCATTTATTTACATAAAAACATCGTCATATTTTACAATTATTGGTCATTTACATAGCTTGTCTCCTTAAATAAGTGAAAAATTTGTCAACATCATACACACTTCATTCTATCGATAGTGATTTCAAATGTACCTTGATTTTTATTATCTAAGCATTTTACATTTTGTGGCATCAAATTAAACATTTTATTACCTAATTCAAAAATGTATTTAATGGTAGTCTGATGATTAAATTGGTGAATCCAGTAAATAACATATCCAGTGAATCTAGTAAATACATTGTGAACAGTTAGCACACCAAGTTTTCTAATCAAACATTTTCAGTAAGTTGTTTTTTACCTTACATATGAATCTTGAAAATTAGAATCTGCAAGCAGTAACCTGAACACTGCTGTCACATCCCCAAAACATTTTATAATTGAAGCTATTGACATTAATTTTGAATGTTTGACCATGAATTTGCAGCATTCACCAATGTAAGAACGCATTCTAAGAATACTTAATACTAATACGAGAGTTCAACATAAAATATTAATTGGACAAATTGTGACAAACAAATAATAATAAAGCCTATTAAAACGAAAAAAAAACTCAAAAAATTTGTCCACCCATATAAGATAGTATTTTTAATATTACTGAGCCTTCAAGAGACGTTACAATAGTACAACTCCAAGCACCTGGTCACTCTCCTACAGATTTAAATACTGTTTAACACTTTTGATATTTTCCAATATTCTCTTACTACATTTCGCTGAACATTTATTTTTATATTATGCAAAAAAAATTCATATTTGTAAAAATAACTTACTACTTATGATTTACACTGCAAAACTTGACTCTCAAAGTAAATATTTTGTTAGAAAGTAAAAACATTGCTAAGAACTTTCTCAACTGTAACAT